GTGGTGCACCTTCAAAGGAGTAAAATTTACACAGACAAAAACTAAATTTAGAATTATTTCAAACACACACAAGATTACAACTCCCTCACAACCTCTCTTTCTCTTTAACTCTTCTTTATTTTCTTGGTCACTCCTCACATCTAAATACTCGGATTACATGCATATTTATAGGAAAATAATGACATCAAAAATGTCATTGCTTATATTACTTTTTTTTTTTATTTCAACTTTTATTGTACCTACTTCACCTCTTTCATTAATGACTGTTACATTCTTCAATATTAGTGGTTGTCTCCTTCTTATAGGTGAGCTACTTGTAAGTTTTGATAACTTCTAGCAATGGTTACACATATAACAAGTCAAGTTTATACTTTCAACAAATGTCATTCCAAACTTGTCTTTATTTAAAGGAATAAAAATTATGATGCTGAAGAGAGTAATGAAACATTGGCTGGTAAGGGTGCAGTGGTTATAGAGTCACGAAGAATCTGGTAGTCATGTAAGGTGAAGAGAGAGGGAAGAAAGATAGGAGAAATATAAGGGAGAAGAAGAAACGTGGAAAAAAGAAAATGAAAAGAAAAAACATTCAAAGAGAAATTTGAAAGAAAAAGGTGCCATATTTTTTTTCTTTAATTTTTAATCCAAAGATACGAAGAAGAGTCACATACATGTGTAAAATGATATAAAATAATAATAAAAAAATTATAAGGACATAAAATACCAATTAATATAGTAAAAAAACATTTTTATGCTTTAATCCGTAAAAAAAGCATCTCTTTAATTACATTATACATTCAATCTTAGTAATCAAGAAGAGGAAAACAAATAAAGCTTAAATTCACTCCAATTGTTACATTTATTAACCTCTATAAAATTCAAAAAATTGATCAGTATAAGTTAATTTTAACAGTCTTTTCTCATTATTTTTTAATTTAAAATTTAAAATATTAAGTTATAGAAAAAATAAAATTTAATTATATTTTTTTATGTTTTTATTTTTTAATAAAAAATAAAATAAAAAAATTAAAAATATGTAAAATTAACTAAAAGAACACGTGAGACTAATATTAAGAATAATCTTATTATTTCAACATGTCCTCTAAATCAAGCATCCACTTTATGATTTAATGTCATCTAAAGCAAAAAATGATTAAATTAGTGCCTTTTAAATCAATGTTTGAAATGTTGGTCTCATACAATTCTAATTAGTTATGTTAAATTAGACCATCCTGAAGCTTACTATTTGTCTATGCATCTAATTAAAAACAAAATAGTTGACTTGGTCCACGACCTTAAGGTTGCTTTTGTTTAGTGTTATAGGATAGAAGTGATGTAAAAATATTTTGTTGTAAGAACAAAGATACAAATATAAAAATAAATATATTTCTAAGATAATTTTAGAGTGAATATTTATTCTGTCAAAATGAATGAAACTGACAAATAAGACATATCTTCTTTATCTCAATTGTTTTCATTTCTTTGTGGCATGATACTAACCATTCATTGTATAATAATTATGATTAAAAAGTAAGTAATGTAAAGGAACCAAATGAAAGGCTTCTGGGAAACCAATTTATGGTCAGTGCATTATTTATTAAATCATGTTTGAATGAGTCAAAATAGAAAGAAAGGTGTTAATCGTATACAAGAAAAAAAATCCATAAATATCTTATTCAATAGAATGAGTGGATCCAATAAGTCTAATGGGTGGATTTTTCTAGTAGTCATCATATGGAAAGGATTTTTTAGTGAAATTAGCATTACTCAATAAGTAAATTCTAATATGAGAAGGGTTCCTATATAAAAAGGGTTTGTGTTTACAGATTAATGTTATTTTTAATATATATATATATATATATATATATATATATATATATATATCTATCTGCATAATTTAATGATGATGAATAAGAGAAGGGAGGTTAAAATATAAAATACTTTATACGTGTCTTATTTTTTAACAAATAATATCATAGCATGTTAAAAGAAGACCGTTTACTTGTTTTGTTATATTCTCACATTGTAATTTAGTAGCTTTTGAAGATGTTGTAAAATAATTAAAGTGGAAAAAGGCTATGAATAATGGCATTAATTTCATTAAAAGAAACAATACTTAAAAGTTAATGGAGTATCCAAAAGGACAAAAGACCATTTACATAAAATAAGTGTTCAAGATAAAGTTAAAAAAAAATAACAAAATCAACGAGTATAAAACATATCTAATAACCAAAAATTATATGCAAGCATATATTACTAGTTACAAAAAAGTTTTTGCTTAAATTATAAAAAATGACATAATTAGATTGATTATTGCTTTAGATATAAAATTAGCTTTTTTATACAAAGATCTATAATAATAAGTATTTGTTTATCAATCTTCTAATGATGTGAAATTAGGGGATGAACAAGGTATATAAGTAAAAAAAAAACCCTCTATATGAGTTATATAAAAGCTTATTTTTTTAAGGAAGTTTTTTAAAAATATCCATTTAACTATATTTTTTTATATTAAAATTAAAGACGGATAAAAAATACTTTTTGTATGTTTATATATAGATAATTTAATTTACACTGAAAATGAAAGAGTAATATTTGAAAATTTTAAAAGGTTCATAATGACTAAATTTGATATATCTAATATTAGAAAATTACATTATTATTTTTTTGTTCTAAAGTGGTTCAATCTATTACTGGAATTTTTATTTCTTCAAAGAAATATATTTAAGAAGTTCTAGATAAGCTTTAAATAAAGAATTATAATTTAGGGAATATACTAACTGAGTTTGATTTGACAATAGGTAAAGATTATAGATGGAAGAGGATGATACCATTCTATACAAGAAGATTGTAGAAAGTTTAATATATGTAACAATAGGCATAATATATTCAGTAAATCTTATCAGTATATATATTAAGAAACCAACAAAGATACATGTTCTAACTATTAAAAGGATACTTTGGTATCTAAAAGTCACTATATATGCTTTGGTTTATTCTATAAAAAGAGAGAAAATTCAAACTTGATTAGTTTTATTTATCATGAATATTATAAGAGATTAAGTTAATAGAAAAACACTTCAAGTTAGGTATTTATGCTTGATTCAACGTCTATTTTATGATCTTTAAAGAAGTAGTTATTTGTCACTTTATCAACTACAAAATTTGATTCTTTTTTTAATACAAAATTCATGTTCATTCCAAGCTATATGGATGAAGAAAATTATTAAGGAACTTAATTTCAAGACACAAGGGCATATAATAATTAATTTCTTGTGACAACAACCCAATAATTAAACTCTTTAAAAATTTAATTCTATATGGTAGAGAAAACATATTAATGTAAAGTTCTAATTTTTAAGAGATTTTACAAAAATTATAATGATTGAGATCATCTATTATAAAAGTGAAGAATATATCACTGATATATTTGTGAATTAAGTTCACTGATATATTCATCATTTTTTTAAGTTGAAAATATTTGCAAATTAAGTTCATAAAATTACTAGGTATTTACACTCGATAAGATTTTATTTAAAGAGGAGTACCTCGTTAGTAAACTGAATGTTAGAATAAGGAGAAAATTGTTAACATATGAAAATGATTATAATACGAGAATGATTCCGAGATCGAAAGGGATTTGTTATCCTTTATATATATATATATATATATATATATATATAGAGAGAGAGAG